GTTTCTTATACAGATTTTCGAGAAATTGGCGATTTTTGAAAAAGCGAACGTTTGTTTTGAATTTTTCGGATCGTGTTACATCAGATCTTGAAATCTGATTCGCAGTTTAGACAATATGCGCCACAACCTGACACACGTTTCAGACGTGCACTAATTTTACGTACTGCAAAGAGATATGCTCGGATAATTAATTAATAATTCCCAACGGATCAGGATATCTTGGAAATATACCCTTTAACCAATATTGTATATAAGATAGTCGAGACATAGTTGGGAACAGAATTGAGATTTTTAAAAAACATGTCAATAACATGATTACTATATATATAATAGTCGTTTAGTTGATAAATTAACAACTATATACATAGTTGATAATTAACGATTAAATCGAATCATTTGATGATAAATCGATTAGTTTTTGTTTTTTAAATCGATTAGTTGAAAAGTTGGCGATTAATTGATTTTTCAACTAATGATTGGAACACTAATTGCGCTAAACTATTGGCGAATAAAAATTATTTTGTTTTTTATTTGTTTCTAATTTTACCTTTATTATTATGTTCACCGCGAAATCCGTGCAAAAGTTAACGCAAACGTGTGAGAATGAAGAGTCCAACTAGATCTCAGAAATTCAAATTATTTAAAATTTGAAATTATCTGCATTTAATCATTAGTTTGATCCTTATTTCTTTTGACCACAACTCAAGTAGATTAAATTACTGCACATAATTGTTAATGCAAGGATGATTTCTCATAAATTATTTTTTCAAAGGTTATAGGCAAAACAAAACAACTTGTGAATATCTGAAAATATAAATTGTACAAGCACTATTTAATTATCTCAAAAACTCAAAAATGCAATTAATTCCAAATATCTCATTCCTTAAACTTTGATATACATTGCTTTAAGCTTTGCGGAAATGCGTGGCACTTCTACATAAGCTAAGTCAGGTGGAACATAAAGCGCAGAAGTCTTATTCAATTTTTTACTTGGATATTTCATGCTGTTCATAGGTTCTCTAAAACTACTGTCATGACGAGATACATCTTTTCGAATGCTGGATGTTTTAATTTGAGAAAACTTGATGGGAGGACGACGAACGTTACCATTAAAGTTTTTAGTAATTACCCTCTTGATAGCATTAGTTTTTACAGTGGATGTTTCAACCGAATAATGGTGACCCAAAGGAGAGATTTCTTCGTCTTTTCTAATCGCTATTTTCTTATGATTATCAATCATCTTGCCAGAGTTTGCCTTTTTATGTGTAGTATTATAATGCACCATACGTTTTCGATTCGGTGGCGATAATTTGGTAGTCTTTCGTGTTTCATCAATCTCATCAGAATCATGTTCTTCATTGACACTTCCGTCGATTTCTTCTTCAGCGTTCGAATCGTCAATTACCTTAATCTTGACCTCTTTTCTCCCAATTAAGTCAATAAGTTGATGCTCACCATCAAGACTTTGATGAAATTCAAATCCTTGTTCTCTCAACAAATAGATCAATGTATCAATGTAAGCTGCTTTTTTGGCAACCTCGTGAAGTGGATTCAATGATTCTCTTAATCCCTCATATTTTTCTCGTAAACCTGCTACAACCGGTGAAGGACAAATTTCAGATCTCAAAGGAGTCTTCGTACCAAGAAATTTATAGACTGGCTGAACGTATGCTTCTATTTCCGAGTCCGACATTAAAGGCTATTTTGATCTATACGAAAAATCTTGTAGACTTTTTCATAAAACAGACAAAAATAACGGAATAACCCAAGATAACGTGTTTAATAATTATTCACTAATTATCAATACCATCAATATTGTTAACGTTAATTAATTAGTACTTACATATTTTAACAAGAAGAAGCTTGTTGATGCAACTATAAGGGTGATTTATTTATATTCATTAAAGTTAAATACAATGACGCCTTTGTGTCATAATTTTATATTTCGTATGTGGATGATATCATATCGATCGAAATACTTCCTTTTAGAAGTATGATCCGAATATCCGCCAGTATAATTTTTATAGTATATATATATATAGATAATAAACAGTATCCAAGAGTTCGGATAACCCGCTAAAATTTTAGTGGATAACGAATCGTGTTTCTACATCCCTTGTACCATCCCACTAATACTGTGGCTCACTAAAACGTAACCTATAATTAGCCAACAGCGATAGGTCATAGGCCAAGACAGATTAGCGCAGGTTTTTTGCTACCAATCATATATTAGAACATTTTGCGGATTCTGGTCAAGTACTTGCAAAACTTTTACATTTTTGCGATAACATTAAAATATTCTAGATCTAATTGCAAATCTAATTTCTTACTAGGATTAACTAGAGCTTCGGTCCTATTTTCAGGGACTATTCAGATTAAATTCGGATCTTCTTTAGTACAATAGTATAATTGAGTCTGAGTTAGTGATACAGGCCGATGCCAAACGCTTGGGCCGACCCGGCCGACAAAATTACTCGGGCCGGTCGACCGGGCCGACCATATTATTAA